CAAACCCTTGTGCATGCATAGGAGGCTGGTTACCTATAGATAGGTCGGGATTAGACATTGGTTGGTTAGAGTAAACAGGTGGGGCATATGACATGGGTGTGAGATGTGGGAGGGTCAAATCCCATCTAGCATTCGAACGCCATAAAGCAAAGACAGAAGAAACATTCGAACACCATACAACGTTCGAACGCCCATAAAACAAAAATAGAAACCACATTCAAACGCCAACTCATGTTCGAATGTTCTCTACAGACAGACTACAGAGTGGTTGGCTTTCACTTGGACTTGGGCTGCATACACTATTATTTCACCACCCCCTTCCTCCTCCTTGCCTATAAGTACTCCCATTGTGGGAGCTTCATGGAGACTTGGATAGATGGGGGAGCTTGATGGAGGTTTAGACTCCCACTCATGTACCTAGCTTTAGAGATATATTTGCCTGTATCAAGGGAGATAGTTCACCTTTTGGTTAAGGAAGCAACTCTCCATTTCTTGGTTGAGGAAGCCACCCTCCAAACGTGACTAGCTTTCTTCTACTTTTATTGGTCATGTCTTTCACTTCTATAGATTGAGCTTCCTTCTTTCTTAGAGGAGTGAAACTCTTCCACTTTTCTAGAGCTTTACCAAAGCCATGAAGGGTGGAACGTAATTCACTCATTCTTCATTGAAGATTGGCTCCTTGTTTATTGTGCTTTCATTTTGTAACTCCTCTACTTGGAGGGATGAGTGTCACTCACTTTTCTAGCTCTACTCAAGCCATGAAGAGTGAGTTGTTCCTCATTCACTCTTTAGTAAGAGGTGATGAACATGTATTGATTATTCGAAAGTTATATTTGTGCATTTCCTTTATGTTTTAATGCTTTATATTTCACTTATTAAATGATTAAGAGCATCTAGCAAAGTTAAGGTACTTTGTATAACCATGAGTTCTTTCTATGACACGGATGACTCTTGCATGGAAAGACCCGTTGGTTCAAGGCAAGTACTCTGGCTAGATCTTCATGACAAAATTTCAAGACCATTATTGTGCTTTATTTAAAGAATGGAACATTAACACCATGGTTGGATACCTTGTAGAAACACTTGCTTGTTTGTAGACGGGTTAAGTCACGGCACAGACAATTCTTGTAAACTTCTAGAAAGGCATCGGAACCATGTGTTTAATTCACACACTCCATCTTTATCTTCCAATTAACTTGTTGTTGACACGGGAGTTAATTGAGTTATAAAGTATAAATATAATAAACCGGATGATTAACTACATGCTCTGATCCTCGGCTAAAGGGTGGTTGTTACATTTTGATAATTTATCTTATATTTTGTCTAGAAAAATCCATTGGAAAGAATCTTATATTCTGTCTAGAAAATCTCATAACTTCAAACTCTCAAGGTTTCGAGTTACTTGGTCTCTATCACTGCTTACTTCAAAAACACTAATCATAGTTCCTTGTGGATTCGTCTCCGGACTTAACCGGATTATTACTACGCTTGACCGCCTACATTTAGTTGTACACATTTTGGATCAAGTCAGTTGCTCCCCCTAACTAACATCCCAATGAACAGGTAATTGAATAAGGGGGCTCCCCCTAAAGAGATATAGGATAAAAATGCTCAAATTCAGGAAAGGTGACATCCACACTAACATATATCCTCTGAGACTGTGGATGACAGCATTTACAACAATTTTGGGTGGCAGAATAACCAACAAAGACACCACAGAGCCCTAGGATCAAGTTTCCCCCTAGATGGTTTATAATCATTAAAAAACACACATCCGAAAACTTTAGGTGGGAAGGAAGAATAGAAGGGATGGAAGAAAACTCAGAAAGACACTCAATGGAGGACTTAAACTGAAGGACACTCAAGGGTAGACAATTAATAAAATAAGCAACAATGAGAACCGTCTCCCCCTAGAAAGATTGGCGAACATTCATAGTGAACAATAATGAACGAGCAACCTCAAGAAGATGACGATTTTTCCTCTCAACAATACCATTTTGTTCGGGTTTACGCACACAAGTGGTCTGATATAGAATTCCATTCTCATTGAGGTAAGAACAAAATTTGCTATCAATGTACTCAGTTCCATTATCACTACGAAGAAATTTGGCTTTGACATCAAATTGGGTTTGAACCATTTTATGAAAAGATCTAAAGCATGAGAAGACTTCACCTTTACTAAGTAATAAGTAAACCCATGTACGNTTATGAAAAGATCTAAAGCATGAGAAGACTTCACCTTTACTAAGTAATAGGTAAACCCATGTAAGGCGAGAATAACAATCAATAAAGGTAATAAACCAACGATAACTAGAAATAGACATAACACGGGAAGGTCCCCACACATCATAATGAATAACAACAAAATGAGCAGTGCTTCTATTATTAGTACTAGGATAAGATGAACATTTATGCTTAGCACATTCACAAGCATCACAAACAAAAAATTGTCTACTACACTGCTTAACTAGACTAGGAAAAAGATGCTTTAAAACACCAAATGAGGGATGCCCTAAATGTCTGTGCCATTGATATAAGGACTGAAGGACCGAAACACTTCTGCCTGGAGAGCATGACTGATAAGTTGGGAAGGAGCTTCAACATCTAAGAGATACAAACCACCATGTGCTCTACCACTATCAATCATTTTCTCGACTCTAGTTCCTAAAAGAGACAATCAGTAGGGAAGAAAGTCACTGAACAATTCAAGAATTTTGTAATAATACTAAGAGACAATAAGTTAGTACAAAAATTAGGGACATCAAGAACAGAAGAAAGAGATAAAGATGGTGAGCAATTAATTGAACCTCCCCTAGAAATAGAAGATAATGATCCATCAGTTTCTTTAACTTTGTCCCTACCAAAACATGTAGAATACGAAGAAAAAATGCTAGAAGAACCTGTTATGTGATATGTAGCTCCAGAATACATTATCCAAGGAGAACATGAAGATGACATAGTAAATGCAGTAGCAGATATACTTGTGTGGGAAAAATTAGAATAAGAGATAGGGGTAGAAGTTGTAGTAAAGGCATCAAGTCGAGCCATCAGACATCTAAGAGTCTGCATCTCATCCTAAAAAAAATTAGAAGGAGTAGACTGAGATGAAGCATGGCATCTGATGAGTCAATCATGTGTGCATGAGATCGCACAGTACCCCCTCGGCCACCACCTCAGTCACGTGTAGGACGTCCAGTCAACGTCCAATAAAACTCTCTAGTATGCCTGGTCTTCCAACAATAATCACATTTTAAGGTATCCTTAGGACCAGTACCCCTTGTCTCAGTAGGCTTGGGTAAGATTGAACCCAAGTCACGCTCGACTCTCCTTCTACTGAACATGGGCATAATCCTCCCATAAAGTGGAAAATGGAGTACGACCCAAAATCTGAACCCGAATCTAATTATACTCAATATTGAGGCCAGTAAGAAAGTCATAGAATCATTCTTTTTCTATCATTTGCAAAAATTTGACTGCATCATTAGTACAAGTTGCTTGAAACTCTGATAGTAGTCAAACTCTTGTCATAAAGTGATTAACTCTGCATAAAAAACTGCAAGTGTCTTATCCTTTTGATTAGTCTCGCTGACTTTCTTTTGCAGATCATATGCCTTAGCATCATTGCCCCATTGAGAATACATATGAGAAGCAGAAGTCCAAATCTTATGTGTCATATCATATAACAGAAAATCACAGCTAATAGATGGTTGCATTGAATTGGACAACCAAGACATATTCAAAGCATTCTCAGATGTCCACTGCTTTAAGGAACGATCAGACTCACTCAGTTTCTTAGTCTCTCCAATTAAGTACCCATCTAAAGTTATCACTTGGACCGATAATAAACACGCCCTTGACCATGCCAAGTAGTTGCTCCCATCTAATTTTTTTGGGCTAAATTAGAGAGAATGATTACTTTCCAAAGTACCCAAACGGTTCACTCCATTTTCTCCAATACTTCCACCAACATTAGTGGACATCACACTACTATCAGACATGTTTATCCAATAGAAGCAACATAAAATAGCAAACAATCACTGAAAAACTCTACCAAAGAAGCATCCTACTATTGGAAAATATCACAAATTATACCAAAAATGGAGTAAGAAGATTGTAGAGACACGAACCAATGGTGAAACAAGGCTCCCCGACTATATAAAAGAGCACCCCGACAAGGGTGCCAAAAGTCCCACAGGAGCAAAAAATTCTCACAAATTCAAGCAACACTCAACAACATGCTACAATATGTTTAATCCCATCATTCTAAGGAGATTCAAACCACAAAAAAATACTAGATTGACATAGAAATCACAGATTGCAAGCCGAACCTCCAAAAAATCGAAAATCCTTCCAAAAATCAAACGACTAACCAAATAGTTTCAAAAAAATCCATAAAAATCACCATAAACTTAGAAAAAGATTTCAAGTATCCCATGAAAATTTTAAAAAATTTTGCAAAAATTGGTTGCTGATGTCAGTATGTTAGACTGGACAATGACAATGTTGAAGTTTTCTGAACAATCTAATGACTTGAATATTTAAGTTTTGATTGATACTTTGAAACCAAATTGAATTATTATGGAATTAAGGTTTTAGAGAATAAGAGGGAAGAAGAGAGAAAGAGATTGACAAAAGTGTATTTTGTAATAGGTTAAACAACTACACCAACATATATAGAGTCCGATAATGTAAAATACTAAACTATCCTTCTAATATTAATGCATAACGCAACAGTTATTAAATATATTTTTTGTTTTTATTTTCATAATTTGTAAACATAAATAACTCTCCAATATATTTTCTATTTTTAATTTTTTTATAAAATAAAATAAAAAATATTTTTATTTTTTAAAAACACAGAAACAAAAGAACGCACCTGAGTGTTGAAATTCCGATTCAACAAACTCGGTGTCTTAAAAACGAACGTTTCGGCTGTTTGGTTCCGAAATTTGATATTTCGTTACAACTGTTATACTCCGTCTCTCTCTCTCCACTTGCCACTTCATCAATGTCGATAACCCTGAACTTCAAACCCACTATCTCTGTTCCCTCTTTTCCCAACCTTATCTCTTCTTCTTCACCTCAATTGCCTCCAAAATTCGCCAATGGCTTACACTTATTTGGCACCACTCTTTCAAGAATTCACAATCATAGAAACCCAATACTTCCACTCTCAAGAAGATTGTTCGTACCTTCAATTTCCGGAATCTGGGACGCCATCGCTGGTGGCAGCAATGCTCGTGAAGCCGTGATTGCTATTCGACGCGGAATGCTGCTCTTCAGACAGGTAAACTTCCCCTTGCAAAATTCAAACTCAGTTCCGGTTTATCTGACAAGGATTGTTCTGATAGTTCCTGTTGATTTTATGAAGGGTGATGTTCCTGTATCTATAGTGGAGTTTGATAGAGCAATCGAGCTGGATCCTCGTCAAAAGGCATGTGAGTTTCTGCATTTAATGAAAGCAAAATGATTTGGTAACACGGAGTCTCTACTACAGCCTGCAAACCTTACAAGTGGAATTATGAAATTGTGATTTTATTTACTGGAGTACTCGTGGTCATCTTGATTTGAAATGAAAGATAGAAGATGGAATGAACGTGTTTCTACGGAATTTTGAGGACAGTAACTTTTTGCCCAGCATAATGTGATTTTGATTTGAGAATGTTTGTGGGGTTCAAATGTTTGTCGTTAATGTGGTGCTCACGAACCCACTCACCGTACTAAGGATTGACATGCACTATGGTTTTCCTTTTTCATCCAGTTTAAAGGCAATCACTTCCCCAAATATGTTCCGAAAAGCCACAATGTAATCTTTGTGATTCTGTGTAACCAAAATATAGAGTCATTCTTGTATCATTTAATGATGTAGAAATTCTATTGGATGATCAGATCTTTGGCAGAGGGGGCTGTCACTATACTATCTTGCTAGGTATGAGTTTATTAGCAGTCTTTTTTTGTTTTTGTGTGTTTTTGTTTTCTGTTGATTGTTTAATCAAGTATATAAGATTGTGTGAAGGTAGTGGTGTCTTTCTGTAGATTTAAGGAAGGGGCTGAGCAATTTCGACTAGATGTTGCACAAAATCCAAATGATACAGAGGAGTCGATATGGTGCTTTCTGTGTGAAGCTCAATTATATGGAGCAGATAAAGCGAGAAAACGATTTCTTGAGGTATGCAGTTAATTTCTACAGATGACATCTTCTTAGAATCTTTTAGGAGTAAAATGTGAGCAAGTTCCCTATGAAAAGTACAGAAGGAATTAAATGAATTGCTTCTGCATGCTTGCTGTGATTTTGTTCAAGCTCTCAAATCACCATGCATTTTGAAAATTTCTGATGCATAAGCGTGTATTTATGTGGTGGTGTTGTTTTGATAGTTCTAAGACCAACCAGATTATGCATCATAAGAGTATCTGTCTTTACTGAGAAGTTCATCTCATTTCCTTTTTCAGCCATTCATGTATTCATTTTGCCTACAGTTTTATCTTTTTGGTGGACATGGGGGTCCAATGGCTGGGCTGCAGTGCAGAGATTTAGCTCCAGCATTATTATTATTAGTAGACTCCATCCCCTGTTAGTGGATTACACAATAATTCAACAATTTCAATGCGTACTGAATGCAGGTTGGTAGAGATCCTCGACCTGTTATGCGGGAAGTCTATAACATGTTCAAAGATGGCGGTGATCCAGAAAAGGTGTGGGTCCATGTTTTTGACTTGAATATTCTCTATTTGCACAGTCTCAGGAAGGGTATTAGCATACTTGCACCACCAAATATAGTTTCGTGTCTTTTAGATTTTTCACTTCGCCTCTCATGTGAAATACATGAAGAATGGAATCCCCACTGCCCTGTCACAAACAAATCTCATCTGGGTAGGTTGTGTGTTGACAAACAGGGTTTTAGATTACATCATGCTGGCTATCCACCGGCATATCTTGACAATACTTAGAGCATCTCCAACCATGACTCAAATTTTTACTAAAATTTAAATTAACATTTGAGTAAAAAGCTTGATTTGATATAAAAGATTCCAATAGACAAACTCAAATTTAGAAAAGGAGAGTAGGAGATGGTCTCCTCGCCATATTTTGATGGTTATAAAAGCCACATGGGCCCTTACGTTGCTGTATCCATTTAACATTGTAGGGCCTTACAAGCTGCATTCTTCTTTATCTATTCTCCTATTTGAAGAGTAGGAGATTTGATTTGTAAATGAGATTCACTGGTTTAAAATGAACAGAAGTATATACAAGTTCAAGCCTCATTATCAAATATATTAAACATCACATTTCCATGTTACAAATTGGTCACAGCGTCATATTGAGCTATACTTTCCTCTGACATTTGACTATATTAGGTTCCATGCATATGCACTTCGAATACCAAGTCACACTTGATGCCTCAGGGTTGTTTAAGTTGCGATCTTATTAATGAAAGGTACTGAAGAAGTAACTAATATAGTTTTCAAAGCCTATCACAATTGATATCCGTATATATCCTAAAATACCTAAAATTAAAATTAATGAACTATAGAAAACTGAGACTGAATGATTTGCTGGTTTTATAGGAGTTTGCTTGCTCCATTGATTGATACCCATCATGCATGGGCCACTATACCTGACGCTGTTTACAATATTACAATAAATCATACTGTTCCAATATTGCAACTTAAAAGCATGTTGTTGACTCCTTATTGGATACGACAAAGCATCCATAAACCAATAAAAGAAATATTGTTAAGCGAAGATTCAATAAGGAAACAAGTGAGTATGTAATTTGCTCAAGTAATGCACACCATTTGCTATGAACAAAACCATGGAGCCCAGGGAGCTATAACTTTTTTATTCCTTTCCTTCTTGGTTCTCTTTATTTTTTGAGAGCCATAGAGACAAATGAGATCAAAGAAAAAAGCTGAAGATAAAATTCAAGTTGTGGTGGTAATCATGAAATAGCTGGATGAATCTCTCTGATGAGTTCTATCTGTCGTTGCAATCAATCCCATAAACTGGGGCGCTTAAGATTCTCCGACTGGCTAATTGCATGGATATTACCTACTTGTAGTAAGAATTGATCCTGCTGGATGTGGTTTCTAGCCTCCTCTGTTTTAGTTAAACCGTTTATCTCTCGGAGCTGTTAAATTATGAAAAGAACAAATTCAATTGCTGTGTTTTCCGTCCAGTATATTTTAACAAATATACTGAGTTTTCTAAACTGACGTGGGCCAGAACATTTGTTGCAGCGATTTCCAAGGATTTTGATGCTTCAGAATATATCTCCATATTATGAGGATTGTCTGATTCATCATAACAAAAGTAGATGATTAAATAAAAGCAAGTTGAAGGCCCATCATTTGTGGTTTTAGATATTTCACTAGCTCTCAGTGCAAAGTCGAGGATTGGTCAAAATGACTAGTGATTTTGACTGATACATTGAAATTGTCTCCTTTATTTGTAAATTACTCAAGATACAAAAAATACCTTGTAGGATGAACCAGTTATTGTATGAAAAAACTTCTCCTGTTATCGTCTTTTGTGGCCGCAATGATAGATCAATTTATGTGTTCTAGTGATCTTCGAAGGGCCACATAAAGTTCTTAAATACTCTATAAATCCCTATGTTGGATCTCTTAAGACACCTCCAAGTTCCCTCAATTTTTGTCAAAAATAACTACCAAAAAATTAGGGACTCTTTTGTATAGATGTATGTTTTTCCATTTAGTTTGAAAATGATTAGTTGAAACTTGAAGAAAGATAAGAATAAAAAGAGAGGAAGAAAAAGATTATGAAACAATATTGTGTGTAAGACCTATATATATTTGTATTAGATATATATTGAAGACAATATTAGCAAAATAGAATATAATAGGAAAGTAATATTAATAAGAAAGAGCATATAGATAATAAATGTCCGACTTGAAACAAAGGCTATTGAAGGTGGACTGCACCAATAGTCGTAAAAATATCACTGAGTTGATCACCAGACTTTACAAATGGCATCGCAGTATCTCCATATAAACCTGAAGTATGAGAAAATCAATCTCTATGTGACTGATTCAGGCCATACATGGACTTCTTTAATTGACACTCACCACTGAGCAACAAACCCAGGTAGTTGCTCCATATGAAGTCTAAGACATGAGTTGAACATATATCTTCCTTGTGATCTACTCTTAGTTGGGACCAACTAATACCGGTGGTAGAAAAGAGTAAGGTGACGAACAAAAATAAAAAATCTACCCTTCAATCACATCACCAACTATGATCAGTCTCTTGGACGAACAGGGATCATAACTCCAACAATAATGCGCAATCAAACGACACTTAACCAGGATGAAAACATTGAAACGACACTAAGCCGAGATGAAAACCACTAAACTAACACTAAACTAATCGAAAACCATTGAATCAACACTTAACTAGGGTGAAAACATTGAAACGATACTGAACCGAGATGAAAACTACTAAACCAACACCAAACTAACCACTAAACTAGTACAAAATGAGGTTGAAAACCACTAAACAGACACTGATCAGGTTTGAAAGCAAAGATGACAGCAACTGACAAATACAGAGATGACTACAACTTGATGTACGCAAGACTGGCCCAATGACTAAGCAAGGGAGGCACTTGCCTATGGGCCCCACTTGCCTAAGGCCCCCCTGTTGCCTAGGGTCCCATTAACCCTTGTAATCTTACTCTAATACCATGTTGAAATTTGAATAATTGAGGATTGCAATATATGAAATGAAAAAGAGGAAAAAGAAAAAGAGATTATCAAACAAGAGTGTGTGGGGGGTGTTTATTGTTCCCTGAGCGTGGCACTTATTACGCCCCTCGTCTCACGAGCATGTTATTGATGTACAAACTTGTCACTCCCAAGTCGGTGACTCTATTAGATTAATCAAAAGTTGTAAACTTAGGGATTACATCCTATAACAAGGCGAAAGCAAATTTTTTACAAATCAAACTCAGTCGGAGGTTTCATAACATGTTACATCGTTACAATAGGAATAATGTAGTGTCTAGCAAATCTAAACAAAGAGAAAATGCTCAACTCGGGTCCGATCCCTCGTAATGGGTGCTTTTCACATACTGCACCATACTATTGAAAAAGAGAATAAATTTCATAGGGTGAACGACCACGTGCTCAGTAGATTAACCAAATTTTGCGAATAAACATGGTTTGAAATAACACATGTCATAGTGAATGACATTTAAACACACTTTCAAAGATAAATAACATCTAGCAAAACATTTTAGTATAATAAATAGTATATAATCATATTAGGTATTAATATCACAAGTCAAAATATCTTAAAGATGCCATTATTGAAAATCAATTAGTTTGACTAAGTACTTACTGGGTCACACCAGGAGAACAAAACCTATGCGACCACACAAGTGTCTTGGCCATACAAGGGTCCTGATCATGAAGATCAATCAAATAAACCTTTTAGTGGGATTGCACCATCAAGAAGGTACACACCTTCCACATGCTAATATCCAAGCCTAAAAGCCATTGGGCCACAAGAACCAATGCGACTCAGTCAAACCCTCTACAGTTTGAACCTATGAAGTACAGACACGTGGTTTTGGATGACGTATCCATGCTCGACACGTCTAGGACACGGTCACATGCCGATCGACACGTGCTGGACTTGTGTCCGACACTCCCAAAAGAGTGTCCAAATTTTATTTATTTTTTTGAAATTTCAGACACGTCTAAGACTTGCCCAAGCACATCCAAATACGTTTCTTCTGTCTATAGTTACCATGTAGGGATGTTAGTAGTGTTAGAGTAGTTAGCATATTTAGTCTTAAGGGTAGGTTAGTCTCTTGTTTTCTTTCATGTTGCCCTACTATATAAGGGTCTCTTGTATGCATTTTTCTATTAAGTAGTTACAGACTAATTTAATGGCAGTAATATTCTCTTCTTCTTTCTTTTATTTCTCTCTTCTATTTTGATTATTTAATCGTTGTTTACATGGTATTAGAGCACGTTAAGATCATATACAACATTAGAAACGTAATGGTATTCTCCAAAAGAAGGATCTAGGTTAACAAGGGCTAGCGTACAAGGGTTGATGTGATCAAACAAAGATGATGACTTCATGAACCAACGACTCTCTCATCAACCATTTAGATCGACTACCGGTGGGCTCTAACATGGCATGATTTGTTTTTGAGTTTGAAATTGTTTGATAGGGTTTTTGATTTTTCGAATGTTTTTCGAAAAAATGGGATCAAATTTTTTTGATCTTGCTGTTTCATTATCTTTCTTTGAATTTGTTGCTGCAAACCACACCTAAAGGGTGCGTTAGGTGTGTTGTATACATAGTTGAATGATTGTTAAACAATTAGGTTGATTTCTAGAGGCTTTTGGTTGGTTTTGTTGGCTCGGCAACTACGTATCGTACATTGGTCGTGCACTGGACTGTTGTTTTGGCTGATTTCTGCATATTTTTTGGTAGTGGTTGGACTGATTTTTGCTGCTTCTTGGCTCTATGAGGGATTTTTTTGCATTGTGGTCTTCTCCTTGATCGCACAGTGGTGTCGAACGAAGCTCTACGTCTCTCTTCATTCATGTCTGGTTGTTGGATATTTTTGTTGTTGGGCTGGTCTTCCTACGGGGCTCTGATCTTCCTACTGGGGCTGTAATTGTAGGGTTTGTTGGGCTAATATTCTAGCTGGGCCTTTGGTTGTTGGGTTTGTTTGACTTCTATTCTTGTTGGGGCTTTGAACTTTAGTTGGGTTCTGTGATTTGGAATTGGTTTAGTTGATTTGATTGTTGTTGTTTTTGGCTAGTGAAAATTATGACGAGTGACAATTCTAGCTCTCATCAATCAATTAGTTTAAAATTGACTAAGATTGCTTATCAATTGTAGAAGCTCCTTCAACAGCCTAATACTCTCTCCATCTCACCTTCTATAGGTTCGTTCACTTCGGGTCCTTCAGGTATATCCCGAACCACCTGGATCTTTGACTCAGGTGCTACCCATCATATGACTAATAATTCTTCCTTATTTGTATCTACCTTTTCTCCTCCATCTGTTTCTGTGCTTGCAGCTAATGGTACACAAATGTTCTTGGCTGGTGTTGGATCTATAATTTCTTTGCATCTAACACTTCTTGATGTTTATTATATTCCACAGCTTCCCTTGAATTTAATTTCAGTTAGCCAGTTATTTGACTTTGGATTTTCATTTCATTTTTCCTTTTCTGGTTGTATTATACAGGATCCATATTCCAAGAAACTGATTGGCACTGGCAGTAGCAAGGGAGGATTGTACGTGCTAGACAAGTTACATATTCCTGATATTGTTGCTTCTACCATTGATTTATCTTCTTTTCATTTGAGTCCATAGTCTTCTAGTCTTTATTTGTGGCATTCTTGTCTTGGTCATGTGTCTCACTCTCGTTTGAAATTTTTAGCCTCTACCGGTAAATTGGGGAATTTAGAGTATCATGATATTTCCAGTTGTAATGGATGCAAATTAGTTAAATTTACTGCATTACCTTTTAATAAAAGTTCCGCTAGCTCACTTGCACCTTTTGATCTGGTTCATTTTGATGTTTGGGGACCGGCTCCTGTTCCCACAAAAGGAGGGTCTAAATATTATGTCTCTTTCATTGATGATTATACTAGATTTTGTTGGGTTTATCTCATGAAATATCGTTCTGAGTTCTTTTTTGTATTCATTGTTTTTCGTGCTATGATATGTACTCAATATTCATCTATTATTAAATATTTTCGATATGAGAAAGGAGGAGAATATTCTTTCAATTCTTTTCGTGATATATTAAAATCTGATGACACTATTTGACAATTTTCTTGTACTGACACACCTGAACAGAATAGTATAGTAGAGCGCAAACACCGATATATTATAGAGACAATAGGCTCTCTCTTATTGTCAGCAAATGTCCCAAGTTCTTTTTGGGGGGAAGCAGTTCTTACTGCAGTCTATCTGATTAATTTCATTACCATTGTCATCACCTTTGGAATTTCTCCATTTGAAAAGTTATGTAGTAAGCCACCTTATTATTTCTCTTGGTGCGTATTTGCATGCATTTGTTTTGTTTTGCTTCCTAATGTCCTTCGTACTAAGCTTTCTGCTCGTTCAGCTTTATGTGTTTTCCTTGGTTATAGTGAGGGCCAAAAGGGGTAACGTTGTTATGATTCTGTTTCACACAAACTCTATGTCTCTCGTTATATTATTTTCATGGAGTATATTCCCTTCTTTTCTATTCTATCCAATTCTTCACATTTGCATAAATCATATCTCATTTACATTGATCAATTTATGGCTGATGTTCCCTCTGACACTTATGTTGGTGATATGAT